ACATATACACGTATACTGTATATTCTATTGTTTTGCTTAATTATTTCAGTAATACACAGAATTACCATGATCCTAAAAATGATCACAGCAATACTTACCGATATATGCTCCTTTATTTCTACAGTGTATTCTAGCATGCCATTGATGTAGCCACCATCCTTCTTATAACTCCCAGCATGCCTTTCCACTGTCCTTGCCTCCAGCACCACTTCCTCTATCTTCCCTTGAGAGACAGACAGAGAGGGAGAGAGATAGTCTCAGCACTGGGAGGATTTATTGGAAACCTGGTTTCCACTCTTTAACAAACCCATGCATGAGGTAAGGTACTGACACAGTGTGAGGAAAGTACAAGACTACAAAGATAATGCAGCAAAAATCTTCAGATAGACAGACTGACGTGATTTATAATACAAAGGTAGTAATGTTTTCATCATACCAGGTATGAACATGGGTGGGACTTTGGTGTCGTACTGGTGGGTTTTGGGATTCCAGAAGGCTGTCCTGCACACTGCCACCACAGACTGGTGTGTGCTGGGACAGTGTCGCGTAATTGCAACAATATCTGCATCAACCTGGTCTACATACACCTGGAGAGGAAGATGATTAGAGATTTAAGATGAAGACTTAAGAGGGAACTATCAAACCTTTTCAGTCATACTGCATTCCTTGTTTACTTTAAAAACCTTTAATAGATTGCAGAGTGGGCTGAAACTGTTTGTAGTGTGAGCTAATGTTTCAGTATATTAACACACATACAAAATCCTCATGGTACCTGTATGAATCCCTGGGCAGCCAGTTCATGGTGCAGCTTGTTGAGGGCCAGTTTTCCAGCTATGATGCCAGTCCTGAATCCAACCTCACCAGTGGAGGTGGGGGATGCTGAGGGGTTCCACTTGGGGTAAAAACGCTCCTCTTTCACCACAGAGATCTACGCGCGCACGCACGCACGCACGCACGCACACGCACACGCACACACACACACACACACACACCAAGCACTGTCAAGATTGTCTGTTAATCTACTAGATGTAGATGATAAATTTCGTCACCCTATGCAACACAGTTAGTACTGGGGAATCAGTGTTTTTTGAGTTCAGTTCAAATTAATATCAATTCTAAGGAAATACTTGTTTTCAAATCTTCTGTGAGTAGAAGAACACCAGGCTAAAATGATGGTGTGAAAATCCAGACCTGTGCACAAACGGAAAGCAAAGATACATGTGACACTCTAGTGGGCCTTTTCCACTGTCACTTTTGGCAGTGCTGAGTCAAGCTGTACTGTGCTAATTCTTGTTTCCATTATCAGTTTAGATGCGCTGTGCCAAGACAAGCTGCACCAAAAGCAGGGCCACTCCCAATGACCCCCCTTCTGAAACAAGCAGTGTGTGATGGAAGAGTCAACTCACCTCTCTCTGCAGGAGACCAGAGAGAAGGGCGTTTTTAAAAGTCTCTGTGTGTTCAGCTCTTAGTACTTCTGTAGTTTCTAACTGAATCTCTGTTGTTTGGAGTTTAGTTTCTCTCCTGCATCCTGTTTTTACTTTAGATATCTGCTTTATTTTAATGTTTTATGTTCTCTATCAGCCGTATTACAAGTTGTGTGAAATTACTGCTTGAAAACTCAACAATTCCTTATTTTGCTGCTTCACAATAAAAGTTTTTTACAACAATAATTATTGTGAAGAATCTTTAGGAAACAGAATGTGTTTATCACTGAATTAGCAGAACTTTGTTAGCAGCTTTTCTACAATTAAAGGGAAATTTCGGTTTATTTCAACCCGTCTCCTATCGTCCTAAATTTGTTTCTAGTGACTAGTGACATAGAAATAATAGTTAGCATGTTAGCCGTTAGCCTAGATAGAGTCGTAGCATCAGACCTGTTAAAACTTAATTGAACGGGCATCCTTTCAAGTGCAAAGTTAGTCCACTAAACAAGCTTTTTCTCCACAAAGACCGCCTCATATCGTTAGGATAAATGTCAGAGAACATATAGAAAACGACATCTAAACGGGTTGTCTTACCTTACCGGTGTGGTGCCATGTTTGCTGTTTACCATTTAGCTAAGGCTGCAACCGGTCCCATTCCTTGCAACAGAGGTATTCCTCTTCTGTGGGCATTGGGGTACAGCATTCACAGGTAACGTTACACCACTGATCTCCAGAGCTAAAGCCTTCCAGAAGCCATTCCTCCATGCTAACTATTATTTCTATGTCACTAGTGACTTGAAACAAATTTAGGACGATAGGAGACGGGTTGAAATAAACCGAAATTTCCCTTTAAGATAAGCCTGATAATAAGGCAGGGAGGAAGAGTGAAATCAGAAACAGCCACAGTGAGATGTTGATGAAGAGCTGCAGACAGTAGGCTCTTACTGCACCAACAGCTCACCTCCAACAGGTAAACTTCTTTTACCTGCCCCGCTGTGTGATGAAAAACACTTGCAGCAAAAATAACAGGAGATGCAAATGAATTAAGAAGGTTAATTAAGTTCTGTAAATAAGGTTGAAGCTAAGGTTAAAATCCGGCCAGCCTTTATTTTGGTGGTCCCATTGATCCTATGGGACATTATTTTGATGCCCTCTCCTGGCAGAAACATAATGAAGCAGAAAAGTTTGAGAACAATGAAGGGACGACATGCAACCTTGTTCTACAAATATTAAGCTCTTCTTTCTAGTATAGTTAAGTGCCTGGCTGCAATGGGAACAAGGTACTGTGTCATTTAATATTTCATGATTTTTGTGTGGTGACATGTGTTTTAACTGACTCAACAGTAAGTGAGTGTTTAAATTCAAATGTATCACTGTTGTAGCAGTCATGCTAAAAATAGCTGCGGGCTTCATAAAACATCGGTAACATCACAGTGATACTGTCTTTCTTGTTTCATGTGTGTTTAAAGTTTGATATTGTAATGTATGCTTGTATATGTATTTGATATAGTATTTATGGATTATGGTTATGTTTGCACATGGGTAACAGCTAATTTTATTTATTTGTGTGTGCTTGGTAGCTCATACAGTGTTTTCTGGAGAAAAGGTGTTTTGAAGAAAGAAGGTGTTTCAGAAGGAAGTGTTACAGGCCGGAATCAAACCCGGGACGCTGCAGCAAGGATGGAGCCTTTATACATGGGGCGCCTGCTCTATCCACTTAGCCACTGACACCCCAGCCCATGGCTTTAAAACGTCATCACTCAAGACAAGCCGTCATTAGTTAAAGACACAACTTCAAGTGGGTAGCCCTGCTGAGATGGAAATGCAAATCTCTGCCGCACTGGGCTGACAGCCCAAACCAAACCAAGCTAAGCCAAGCCAGTTATTGAAAAGGGGAATAGCTCTACACCTAGCTTTTAAAGCTACAGACGTCACAACTTCAGAGAAAATAAAGCGGCATTATCCATATTTATATATTTGCAATAAATAAGCCAATATTGGGGCATTTCTGTTTATTAAACATACAAAACAAGCCATAAATATGGTTAAATGTTACAAAATACTGTTAAGCTATTCATCAGATGATAGTAATAGCTTTTGTGTGTGTGTGTGTGTGTCTGTGTCTGTGTGTGTGTAACTAACCTGATGTGGCACTAATTCATCATATCCTCTGGTGGAACCAGTGGCACAGCAGGCCATAGACACTATTGCAGAGCTGGGGAGGGAGTCCAGTGCTGAACGTAACTATATGACAGAAGAGAGGCAAACACATGCAATTACTGTGTACACCTGACATCTGGATAGAGCCTGTTACATTTGACCACAGTGATCTCCTCACAATTTCTTTTTTCATCAGAAAATTTTGGCCATTATGTCATATCTTACTTTATGCTTCTTTGAGTAGGTAAAAGTGGAAAAAGTAGTAACAGAAGGAAGACTACTCAATTTTTATACACTAAAGGAATTATGAGAACTTAATCAGGTAAGAGAAAACCTCAACAATTACATTCTAGGAGAGACAAACTGTTTTTTTTGTTCATGTAAAAAGGATAATGCACACTGAAGCAAATGGTTATCAGCATCTTGAGTCACTCCACTCCATTCTAACCTGACCCTGACAAAGACCCACCTGTATAGGACACTCATTGTCATGAGTTACATCAAGAAACATGGCATGGGCGATGGAGGGCATCAGTGGCCGCAGACTGGGCTGAACAAAAGCTCCAACTGGCTCACCTCCGTAACGATAGACCAGCCGTCCCTCTTCATGGCTGTCACCAGCTGACATGGCCTCTATGAACAGGGTGGGGGGTAAGGAAAAGTTTATGAGACAAAGGAGGACAGTTTTCAAAACACAATCCATACTGCTGCAGCACTGTACATGAGTTCACACATTCAAGCGCACTGTAGTGCAACTCCAGGCCACATTCCAAACTGACAATGCAGTTTAGTAAATACATTTAGTAAATACATTTAGGACAAATGTTCATCAATGTATGGACTAAGCTCACAGGCATGACTGTTCCAAAATTGTCCCTGCTTTCTAAATTGTTTTAGATGTTAAATTCAACAACATATCTAGCATTATATCCGCCACTACATATCACATTAGAATGTTACAGAATTATGATTGGTATCTGCACTTTAGGGCTTGGCTGGCCAAAACCCCCATAAAATCAACTTGAAGGTGCCACCATGTAGGCTCCTGTGTACCCTAATGCCCACCCATAGACAGTCTAAATCTGGGTGTGCTGACCCCTGGCATTATAGACTGGCTCCAGGGATGTGGAACGTCACCACACTGCTGGGGAAGGAACTGGAGTTGATGCAGGAGGTGGAGCGGTACCAGCTATAGTTGGGCTCACATCCACGTATAGTACTGGTTCTGGAACCAAACTGCTGCAGAGGGGCTGGTCTCCCGCCTTTTCTGGAGTTGACCAGGGTGAGAGGCCATGGGCTCTATGCAACTGCGAGTTGCTGGGGGGGAAGTCTCTTAGTGTTTGTGCTTATGCACCAAGCAGCAGTTCAGGGTGGGTGGTTAAGGGTGGTTGCGGCTCAGTGAAAAGCGGTCAGTACCTGAGTACCTGGTCTGAGGCCAAGGTGCAACAGTGGACTTAACCCTCTGGGGTTGTAGAGAGGTTACTTCCCCAAATGAAAGTTCAAGTATGTCAGGGTCTTGTTCATGAATTAAGTAAAAATTGACTAGACAGGCAGATTGGCCCAGCATCAGTGGTCCTGCGGGTGTTGTGACAGACCCTTGTGGTGAAGAAGGAGCTGAGCCAGCAGGTGAAGTTCTTGATTTACTGGTCCATCTATGTTCCGAACCTCACCTATGTTTATGAGCTTTGGCTAGTGACCAAAATAATGAGACTGCAGATACAAGCAGCTGGATGGATGAGGGATGGATGGATGGATGGATGGATGGATGAAAATGTGTTTAAATATGCAAACAGGTGGAAAAAAGGGAAAAAACTGAATAAATGAGAGGAAAAAAAAACCCAAAACAAATGCAGATGCTTCCATATGGGGAATGAGAGCTCACTGAATGGCTTGATGAATATGAAATGATGTGAATCACATGCTATAGCCTTCACAGTCATCACAAGTCTTTGAAGAATGCTGTTCAGCTCTCCAATAAAGTACAATGCACTTGGAGAATCACTGACAAAAGAACTGAAGCTGTTGTGGAGGGTCGTGATGGGACAGCCCTAAGTGTGTTGCTTTTTTGCCATGATTTGTCACCCATCTGTATGTACTGTACTTAACAGTATATAACATGTACAAGCAGCATAAATACCTACCTTAGTATCACGCACCATCTTCTTTGTCAATACTGATAAATATACTGCATATGTAGGTGTATGTTGTGTGTGTACATTTTAAACAGATAAATTAATGTACCTCGTATGAGCGATGAGATCCCTAGCTTGGTTACGAAGATATTATCCAGCTCCTCGCTGCCGGTGAATAGTTCAGCCACCACATATAGGTTAGGACAAACTGTTCTGGCCACGTCGAGCATGAACTGGTCAACCACAGCAAGGCAACACACCAAAACCAGTGCAAGAGGTCATGATTTGGAGAGAGGAAGAAAGAGAAGGGTGAGGAAAAAAGAGGAGGTTGAGGAAGAGACAGAAAGGACATAAAGAGGAGGAGGAGAGTTATGTGAAGGGAATGCAGTCAGTTAGTAATAACAGGCCCAGAGACCACAACATGCAGCCATACAGTCCATGAGCACAGAGAGTTAGAATAAAGAGATACAGAAATGTTTGGGTATGAAGAGGAGGATCGCAGAACAATGCAGTGAAAAGAGGAGAAAGACACAAAAACACAGAGTTAGTTCATGCATAAGAGTTGTACCTCGTATAAGGCTGCTAATTCCCAGCCGGTTAACAAACACATTGTCAATGAGCTCGCTGCCTGTAAACAGCTCAGCTATCACATACAGATTGGGTCTGACCGCTCTGGCTGCATCTAACATTGCCTAGACAAAACAATACACCACCATTACAGACAGGGAGAAAAAGGTCTGCTGTTAACAGGATTACTCGGATATATAGTATGCAACTAACTTTAAACTCACACGTGTCACATTAATGACATTCAGTGACATAAAAACAGTCTGCAATAAAATCAGATTTTCTTTTCCCAGTTTTACTGTTTATTCTTAAACTAATCTTATTTAAAGCTATGATACATTTATTGCAAATGAGTTAGCTCTTTCTCAGGCTAGATTGTACTTTAGGTACACAAAATATTGTATTATTCTAATTTTAATGGCCTAAAGTAACCAAGAATATTGCTGTGCATTAGAAAAGTGTGGCAGGTTAAGGGTGTGCGTTACACACACATGGTGTCACTACATTTTGTTGGGGAAACAGTGCCCTGCCTGGGCAAAGTTTCTCCACTGGTTTCTGTTGTGACCTGACACTATAAGATCGAGAAAGTCTATTGGTGTTGCACATAACTTCCAACAAAAAGTTGATTCATTCAGTGTTCAGAAAAGCCAACATTTATCGTAACTAATTATATTACACAGAGTGCCAAGAGAAATTAAAATATTTGTATGATGTAATGAAATGCTATATATAATAGGCCGACAATAACTACATCCTAAAATGTTGAATATTTGCTGAAACTGAGGTTGTGTGTATGTTGACTCTACTGTATAATCATTTCAAGGCTGTGCTTTGCAGTGGTGTTGCATAGGAATGCACTGTAATAGAATGTGTACTCAGGATGCATTTATATGGAACATGAGAGAATGGTTATTCATTTCATTGTACCCATGATCATAACAGTACCCATGTTTCTCACTATGCAGGTGGGCCTTAATTTCTCAACATCTCAGCCACTTATTTCTGTACTGGCTTAGCCAACTCAAATGTTACAGATGTGTCCAGTTTGAGTCTCCATCAGCTCACTAGTTCTGAAAGACAATACAATGTATGCTCTGCAATACTAGGCCTGTCCCAAACAATTATTTTTCTAACGATTAATCTAGCGATTATTTTTTCGATTAATCGACTAATCTAACGATTAATTTTTCGATTAGTTTAACTATTATTTTTTAAATTATCGATTATTTTTCCATTATTTGATTAATGAGGCAATTTAAACAATATGAATACCAAAACATTTCTTATTAACATTAAAATTTATTGAAACATCAATGTTTCCCCTACCATTATATTAGGGAGGCGCCTGCTAGAATAATATAATTAATTGCTTTTTCAGTCCACTAGATACATTTTGCTGCTGCAAAACAAAAAAGACTAAGAACAGATCAATTGGATGTTGACAGAGATTTCCTTTGGGGACATAATTTACAGTTGAAAAAAATGTAAAAAAAATCACAAAATATTGCAATATATTTTATCACAATACTCAGCATATCACGACATATTTAAAATCGCAATAATATTGTATTGTGACTTAAGTATCGTGATATTATCTGATTGTGAATCCTCTGGTGATTCCCACCCCTAGCTTCTCTTGGAGTACTCTATCTACCATGTTCAGAATTGGGATATGAGCTGGATATTATGTTTACACAAACAATAATGCAAGTGCAAGGTACTCCAAAAACTCACCATATTCATGTACGTGCACAATGCAACAATAAACTAGGGTGACTAGTTGACTCAACAACCTTTCTGACGCAGAGTTCACAATTATTATTATCATAAATAATTCTAAGGTGGTATTTATAATGATGAGTGCTGTACTTGATTGTATTGCAGTGGGCAGGGATTTAATTGTTCTGGTCAATCAGTATGATATGATAATATATGACAATACCTCAGCTACATGTAATGGTGTCGAGTGGCAGTTGTCCAGTCTGACTCCATGGAAATATTTGGCTGTGATTTCAGTATATTTCTTCATGTGAGCCCACAGGTATGGGCAGTCCTCAGGCCCATTGCCATAGCGGAGTTTGACACTGTCACCCCAGCATACCAGCTCCCGGCGCAGGTACACATTGGAGCCTAAAGGTAGCACAGACACAGACCAATACTGATAAAAGGAATCACAATTTCATCTGTGTCGTTTATTCAACATTGAACCTGACAATAGCTTATTTTACATTGAGATTCTATTGATGGACACACATATTCAAATGTGTTTAATCCAATACAAAAAATTATCTGTAATCTCTTCTGTGTAACAGTATAATGCATGATGAACAGAATGAGGAACGAGTTACATTGTGTTTACATGTATATGTTTATCTCTTCCCCCGTTCTTATAGTTTGTAAACCTGACTCTAAGATGTTCAATATATTTACCAGGCTCAGCAAAGTTTCGCAGTGGATCATCACCCATCACCCAACCGTTGTGAGCCACGAAGTGGCACGTCTTTTCTGGCTGATCCAGCAGTTGCATCTCCTGGTCCAGAGTCATGTCCTGATATGGGAAGGTGAAGTACCTGAGACAGATGGATGAAAACACTGAGATCCACAGATAATCAGCCTCCCTTTACATCTGACATTATAATGAACCTCATGTCCCTGTTTTCTGTATGGGATGTAGCTTTAACATATAAGCATCTGCATAATCCTTATGTGATTACAAGCCAATGACACAGAGTAGGTACAGTCAATATTTATGGGCACGCCCACAAAATGCTGCAGTGTGGCTTTCTCCATATCAAATAAACTTAAAATTCCAGAGTTGAAAGGTATGTTTCAGCCTGGACCCTGTTTTCCCAGGTTTTCATGTCAAAGTGACTAACAGGAACATTTTTTAAAAAACTGGTGCAGTAATACAACACTGCAGCCAGCAGCAGCTAGACCACTTGGGGCATGTCTGCAGTGTTAGTGTGCATCCACTAAAGTATTTGTTTTTGCTACTAACAGGCTCCAATTGTTATTCTAAGTGTCTGACACATTTATGGAAAGAATCTTCAGAGATAGACCTTTCTGACAAAGAGTAGGATCCTTTTTGTTTCACCAGAAACATACCCAAAATCACTTTTGTCAAAGCCACCAGACTCTATTTAAACAAACAATAATTCTATTTGCATAAAACACACTTATTTTAATGTCAACAGAAACAAAGTTAAACTTACAGAAACCATCTTGGTTTGTCCTTCCAGTGCTTTCACACCCTCTGTTTTGGTTAAAATAAACCCTTAATTCACTCAGTTGGATGTGACAACAGGCTGACTACATAAATGTTTGCTAAAATCACTGTTTAATTAAATGGTATCTGGTGGGTTTGGCAATGGCGACTTTGGGGCTGTTTCTTGTTAAACAAAAATAATCTGATGCTTTATCAAAACAGTGTAAGACTGTTTAGCCACTAGTAAAAAAAGTTGTGAGCCTCCAAGGACCCGTCGTTCTTGAGGTAGAAATCCCTGCATGATAACATTATAGCACATTGTCAAAACATAAGCTAATGAATGAAAATAAAAAAATAAAAAAAATAATGGCACTAATTAATGTTACCACTGCTATACAGTCTAGAAACATGCATGGAATTCACTAAAACACATTAGCCTAACTATGACTAATGACTAGTGTCTGTGCATGCTAATATCAGGTGTAAATGGACTCACTGATGGGAAGCGGAATACATATCCACTCATCCTGTTTCGCTTCCTCTATTTTGTATCTTTTTTCCTCATAGATTACTGAAATGTCAGTAGTGTACAGTAGTTCATGCAGTAACATACAGTAGACTTCTGTAGAATCCTACATGGTTAGTGCAATGCACTGCAAGACTAATGGCAGTTATTTTTCCATAGCTGGCATCTCAAATTTATGATAATCTGACCTAAAAAGCATGTGAAATCCATCTTTCCTCCCCTGTCTTCTACCTCCATGTATTATATTGTTCCAACTCCTTTTTCTCTGTCCTTAAACCCATATCTTCAAATTCCTTACCTGGTAACCATGGGGTTTTTCTTGCTGACAGGACCAAGTTTGGGGCCGTGGTCTGCCAGACGCTCGTACACTACATTTCCCACAATACAGTTAGCAGCCTTGAGGAAAGAAGAGGAGGAGTATTTTGTATTTTGGGAACCTCCAGTGTGTCTCCAGTTCCATACATTATACAAATACCATGCAGAATACATGCCTGCACTGTATGTTCTTATGCTGACAATGCACTATTTTGATAGTTAGTATACAAGTAATAAATGTCAATGACATGAGGCATTTCTAGTATCTATATCAGCCTCTCCTTGTGATTCCACCGAGAGCCATACCAACAGATGTGTCACACATGGTTGCTCAGACATGTCTGACCTTCCTTTAGTGCCTCGTCATATCATGCTGTATAGCAGTACTGCCTTCTAATTAGGGCTGGGCTATATGGCCTAAAAATAATACTGCAATATTTTTAGGCTATACACTATATACATCACAATATATTGAAATCTAAAATCTAAACTACTAAATTACAGTTATTAAATAAACTATGGTTACAAGAAAGGTAAATAAGGTACCAACGGTCATAATAAAGTTAAATAAAATACTGTTGTGTGAATAATAAATAAAGTTGCTGTGAACTTGAAAGTTCTGGTCAACAGTTAGCTGTTTGCAGCTAGCACAAATTTAAACTGTTGCCGTGGTGCCTTTAAATGTGAGGGTTTACTCACTGTGAGCTATAAACACACTAACAGCTCTTCAGTTCACACACACACACACACACACACACACACATATATATATATATATATATACACACAGTGTTTGCAAGTTGCACTGATGCTACATGATCGCAAACTGTAAATATGTAGTTAAGGTCTGCAGCCCTATAGGTACAAGAACACGTGCTTCCCTGGCTTACACCATCATTAATCTCCTTAAGCTAAACTATTACTGAGGTGATAATTTATTCACTGTACGACACAAACAAACTGTTCTCCAGTTCATACATTAATAATATTTGCAAGTCTTAGTGGTGCTCCATGGTCAAAAAATGTAACCAAATAGTAATGTTACTGGTCTGGAGCCCTGCAGATGAAAAACATGCTTCATCCTGCTCACACACTGTCACTCGGGAGAGAGTGGTGTGGATGGGCAGAGGAGCGTGTGACGTATCATGTTTTGAGTCTTTCTTTATGTGTACGTGAGAGAATGAGAGAACTGAAATGCCAAAGCAAGTCTCATGCCGGTTACTTAAAAAAACATGAACATTTATACTCAATGTTCAAGATATAGTCATTTTACACATCCTCCATGGAACAACCCGCAATACATGATATGATATAATATGATATTATTATTTATATAGGTACCACCAGCAGTAACCCTGCCTGGTGCTACTATACACCCTCCCTTACCTGCTCCTGATGCTGGTGAATGATGTGGTACTGTTCATCATTCAGCTCGTTCAGTTTCTGTCTCAGCCAACCACAGCACTCCTCAATGTGCTGTGGGGAAAAGCTACAGAGAGAGAGGTAGCATAAAACAACAAAATATACCATTACTGTATGTTCTTCAAAGTGCTACATACATGTATTTATGTCATTTGGTCATGTGGATTACTGCAAATTTATCGTGTTGATCTGTTCTGTACGTCATCTATTGCACGTCTGTCCATCCTGGAAGAGGAATCCCTCCTCTCAGTTGCTATTCCTGAGGTTTCTGCCATTTTTTCTTTCCCCATTAAAGGTTCTTGTTTGTTTGTTGTTTTTTTTTGGGGGGGGGGATATTATTCGCTGTGAGGGTCCAAAGGATAGAGGGGTATTGTATGCTGTAAAGCCCTGTGAGGCAAATTGTGATTTGTGATATTGGACTTTAAAAATAAAATTGAATTCAATTGAATATGTACATGTATACACACAGACACAATATAAATAGAGCCTGGCAAGTCAGGACTACTAATTGGAGGTGTATAATCCTGCAGTCTACTTTAAAGGTGTCCTTTTCAATATCTGAAACAGAATCCTATGATGATGATTATGTATTGTGCTGATTCTGTTCAACATTTATATTTCCTTCTTTTCAATGCATGGCAACAGTGTCACACTTCAAGTGGTATCCTGATATCATGGTTAGACATGTCAGATTTTAGAAGTACAAAGTATGATATTGAGCTGAATGCAAAACCTAACTGAACGGATTTATCAAGCAGGAATATTCAGAGCCTCAAATTTTAAATGAAAAATAGCTCACTGATAGACTGTCTAGCAAAAGCAAGTACTGTTGACAATGAGCCTACCAGAACTCGAAGATCCACTAAAACTGTCACTTTGTACAAAAAAACAGAAAGTCTGAACTACAACAGTAGTAGCTTTAAGTTTTGAGTCAGACCTGTGAGGTACAAAGGTCTCCAGAGCAGAGTCCATGTCCACAGTGTTGCTGTAACGACGGTACTTTGGGTCCTGAATGATCTTCAGGCTCTTCTTCCCCCCAGTCTTACTGTGGTCTGGCTTGGTGCCTTACAACACATACATACAAAGGATCATTTCTGTCTGTTAAATAGCATCTAAATCAAATGCATCCATTTTAGCACATTAGCAGCTCCCTAACTGAGAAGGACTGCCACAGTGATGTGTCACTGAACACACTGAAAACGGACAGCAAGTGTTGCTGTTGTCTCTGTTTTGAATTCCTTTGAAACAATAGCAGGAAACGTGTGGAAAGGTATCTGTCAGTTCAAAACAATACATTGGATTCTCCTGCTCAATAAACAGAGATAACTGTAGCTGCATCTTAATTGACATCCATGTAGAATATTGTCTGTATAAGGTACTGCTGTGGCACTGTATTAAAGGAACAGTGTGAAAGATTTAGGGAAACTTAGTGGAATCTAGTGGTGAGCATTGCAGGTTGCAACCAACTGAAACTTCTCCCGATTAGAATTAGAATTAGAATAGATTAGAATTCCTTCAGTGTTCATTGGTCAGGAGGTTTTTACCTGGAGATGAATTATTCACAGAGGTTTTTTCCTCCCCAAAATAAACAGACCAGCTGATGTAAACCACTATTAATGCTGAACAAAGCAGTTTCATGTTACAAATCAGTGTTTCCTCAATGTTGTTTGGCACGTCGCAAACAGGGCACTTGCCCAGTGCTTACCTATTTTCTCTGATAACTTAAGATCCAGACGTTCAGGAAGTTTTTATCCAAAGCTTAATTATCCAGAGGTCTACTCCTTTCTAAAGCAAATACACGTGGTCATTTAAAACACTTAATAAATCAGTGTTTTTCTGACACTGCTCATTACAGAGGGGGCTCTTACTACAGTGGCCAACATGAAAACATGAAAATGCAAATGTCCCTATCTAGAGCCAGCGTTTGGTTTGTCTATTCTGGGCTGCTGTAGAAACATGGCGATCTCCGTAGATGAGGATCCGCTCCCTATGTAGATATAAACAGCTAATTCTAATACTGAGTTCACACTACGAGGGACACAGCTAAAGCGTGAAAAGCTACATTATTGCTGAGTCGCTGTGGAAGTTTTGCTCAAGTGCTCATACTGTGGCTACTCGTCAGGGGATTGTGTGTGTCTGCTACTTGCCACGAAGCACCTTGACTGAATGTCATCTAAAGGTTGTATTTGGTCATAAAAATATCTATGGTTTTGATCAATGTCTGAGCCACATTTTAACATCCCATTTCGCCGCCCCACTGCATCACTTTGAGCACTGCAGCACACAGAAAGCTAGTGTAGCGTCAGCTAACAAAAGCTAAATAGCAAAGCAACACTGCTAGAAACAAAAACCTGTGATTGGTTGATCCTTCACCACGTCATTGGGGGTGCTGAAATAAGTTGGGGCCAGCTCAACTTTCGTTTATAGCGCATCACACCTGTCAGCAGCGACAAGTGTAAGGTGTCACTTTGTAGCTTCATGTCACCAGCTTCCACTAAAAAATGACTTATAGCCTGTTGCTGTGTAACTGTGTGAACACAGCATAAGGTAATGAAAATACTACAATTCTTATTTTAAGGTGGTTATACACTAAATAACCGTATATATTTTATTAAAGGGGTGTAACAATCCATCAATCTGGATCGATATATTGATTCAATGATCAACGATCCAATATCATCGATGCAAAGTAAAAACATTGATTCATATCATCATCTTTAGGGTACACCTTTACTTTGAAATTTTGTGTCACTGTCAAACAGCAGTAGGCACATGATGGCAAGCACCAAAGAGACAGACGATGAGAATAATGTTATTTACTCAGGAATAAATCAGCAATGTGGAAATATGTTCGATTATGGAGAAAATACATGCTGTATGTAAACAATGTCGTTACGAGGCAAAACATGACGTACCTGCCTGGACGAGCATCTCACTCTATTAACTTGCCACTACAGCAACATTAGCTGCCCTGTTTCAACAATGTTCAGCTTAAAAAATGTGCATACAAGCTAAAATTCAACTGTTATGTCAAGAGATGCAGAAATTTAAACCAACAGTATTAAAGAAAAATAATAACATTGCATGTAATTTGTTAAGCTATGAGTAGAGGAAAAAAAAGGTCCGCTAGAAGCTAGGCTAATTCATGCAATGTTACTTGAGCTAATAACTGGTCACTAGCGATAAACAATTGTTTTGTCCATGAACCCTGACAGTTGTTACTGAGCTTGTTGTTTTATGGCTGTTAGGAGAAGTTTACCTTCAGGGCTTTAAGCCAGATAGCCCCGAAGTTTTAGGAAAATGGTGATGGTTTGGGTTAAAATGAAAAGATTTCTCCAAGAAAGGGCTCTCTGACAGAAAGTCCAGAAGGTTAACTTATCCCATCATGTGTGTTAGTGTAGTCAACTAAAATAAACTTTACTGCACTTATTATTTATGTGGTGTTTTTATCTTTTATGGCCAAAAGTGAAAAAGAAAAGGGTGGCAGCTTCTTCTGTAACAGACTGTGTTAAATGGGCAGAAAATATCGTCTCATATAAATCGAATCCCATCGAATCAAAATCGTAGCGTGGCAGACTTTGTAATATCAGCAAATATCGTATTGTTTTCCAAAGAATGGATAAAATATTGTATTGTGATGAAACTGGTGATTTACAGCCATATTATATTATACTATACTAGTCCGTACCCATTGAGTGCACAGTTGCCCACGTACAGTTTCACATGGTGTGTGTTTGGGATACAGGTCATAGGAAATTGCAGATTAAATAGTCAACTGAACCCATTAAGAAGAGCAATGTCTTCAGACAGAGTTTTTGTGAATTTGATAGTACAATTGCTTTATTGAAAGTACAGTAGTACCATTGCCAATAGTGGGATAGTTAGTGGACTAAAACTGTTGCACGTTGAAAGGCAGATAGTTAAAGGAAATGGACACTTCAGAATGAAAATATAGACAGTACTTACTGACCCTCATGCCGACAAGAATTCCAGTGTAGTTTTTTAATCCACAAAACTCGTTTGGGGTATCGGAGGATAACAGCTAGCCGAAATAACAGCTACACTTGAAGTGCATGGAATAAAACTCCGCTAATGCATTTCAAAAACGTCAGAACGGCTCGTCCATCGTAATCCAAGTGCCCTGAAGCAGCGGCATGCAAAACTGACTTGAAAAGATGTAATTTACTCCACTTTCATAGCATCATTTCTCACTGTGGTCAGTTAGCCTGTCCTGCAGGCTTGCTGTGTGTACATGGCAACTCACGCGAGACTAGCTCATGGCTAGTGGTGGTGCTAGTTCTCGAGTCTCGCGTGCTTCAAGTGTAGCTGTTATCCTGGCTAGCTGTTATCCTCCGATACCCCAAACGAGTTTTGTGGATTAAAAAACTACACTGGACTTCTTGTCAGCATGAGGGTCAGTAAGTACTGTCTGTATTTTCATTCTAAAGTGGCCATTTCCTTTAAAGTGTTTACAGTGTCCTCCAAAAGTAACAGTGAGTCCAATTCGTTTACTTTTGTTGTAGACTGAAAACATTTGGGTTTGACATCAAAAGATGAATATGAGACAAGAGATCAACATTTCAGCTTTTATTTCCAGGTATTTACATCTGGATCTGATACACAACTTAGAAGATAGCATTATTTGTAATGGAACACAAAATTTTTAGGTGAGCAAAAGTATTGGAACATATAAACTTAAAATAGATTAAAGTGAATGAGACTTAATATTTAGTTGCAAATCCTTTGCTTTCAATAACTGCATCAAGCC